CATACTGCTCAGGGCTTACCCCTTCCAGGAGTAGCAGCCTACTTTCTTCGATCTGCAGAAATCTGGTGCCTCGATGACCGCTGCCACATACACCAACCATAGATCTTGCGCAATGATCGTGATTCATCACACATTCCTCCAGCCAATTCTCAATGGCGAGGAAAGTGCTCTCTGAGTTAGTCGAGTTTGGCAGCAATTTGCCCGATACCGGAGAGTCCGCTGAAAGAGTTAGTGAGCACGCTTCAACCCCGGTCATCTCGCATACCATCAAGATCGAATATCTCTACACAAAACGACGTCGGCCCTCGGACTGCTTGAAAATGAAATGGACTGTAGTAGTTATTGCCCGTCCAATCCAATTTCAGGGACAGTCGTGCTGAAGCCCAATGTATGCAAGCCAGTCGTACACGGGATAATGGACATCGCCTCTTCACTCCGAATTGCAGTTCGTGGATAGTTCCATATGGCGCTCTACAATTATCGCATTGATGCCCGCCGCGTACGAGTTCGAAATCGTTACTTTGCGATGCCATTGGCAAATGGCTTCACAGCCCAAACAGGCCCCTCCAAGTTTAAAGGACGTAAATCTGAACTCGAACGTTGGCCTTCTCGAAATTGAACAAAGCCGTAAATCTGGAAAGCTCACAAAATGACTTCGATGGCATCGATCATCGAGAGCTGTTGATAGTCACTGCTTGTTTGTATAGAACAGAATCAGAAGGAACAGAAGGAAGTCGCAAGTTGCGAAGCTGCTGGTCTTACGTCATTTAGTCTCGTTAACTTGAACTCATCTTCGTGTGACGTGCCAAGACGTCAATGTCGTGTGTGTGTCCGGAGCTAGGGGACCTTTTTCGGCGAGAAGTCCGCTATGCAGGTTGAGGCGTCCCTCCTTTGTAGGGAATGTCCGTGGCTTCCACACCACATCGAAGCACAAAGCGGGGTGGGAAAGTCGACTGGACGCATATGGACTGGCCCTCCAGATCTCAGGTATGATAGAAGTGATCGGCATGTACGCAGGCACATTAACCGACGTTTCAAGCTGACAATGCAGCTACCCAGAACCAATAGGTTGCGCCACCAGAATGCGACTCCAATCAGAAAAACTGCTGCTATCACGATGCATGACAGTACGAGAAATCTCTTTGGGCGTCGGTTTCGAGAAGCACAACCTGCGCCCGGCTTACGTTGCGCACGCTGGTTCCTTTGTCTGCTTACCTCCTCTTCTCTGCTCACCGACTTGACCTTGATGCTCCTGTGAGACGAGTCAATTCTCCTGCACATGCTTCAGCCCGCTTCAATGCCATGGCTCCATCATGGCGCATGACATGTAGCTTCACTTTCAGCCTTGCTGCCCTTCTCTTCTTCCAGCCTCGCCTGATAGCAGCACAATGCGATATCCCGCCTCTGACACTCACCTGGTCGAACATCACCGTCACACAGGATGGCCTCGGTGTCGCGCGTGGTATTGAACTTGGTATCGGCACTCCGCACCAGATCTTTGCTTTTCGACCGTCGACTACGCTCAACAACACGCGCATCAACAATGTTATCAATTGCGGATCTGCGAGCAACGATAGCTGCATCGGTGGTCTAGGCGGTGCTTTTGACGCGCCAAAGTCTACATCGTATGCGGTTTCCATCAAGAGCCAATGGAATGGCAGCCAAATCGACGCTGAAGACAGTACCGGTGCATACGTCTACTTCAATGATGATGTTGCGTTTCAAGAGAATGGCAATGTCGACGGCTTTCCATTGGTCATGGATAGTGAAGTCTGGGGAGGTAAGGATCCCTGAATGCGCCTCGTCCGATGCGGGTTGTCGAGCTTTAAACGAAGCTGACTGATCGTAGGTGTGCAATCTGGTCTACCTCTCGGAACCAACTCTTCCTTCCTCCGCGCTGCAGTCGCTGGTGGTGTCGCGCCATCTCAGGTATTCGGTCTCTGGAGTGGTAGCAGGGGCATCGATCCGCACGACGGTCTACTCGTTGTAGGAGGATATGATCGCGCGCGGGTTGACCCTGCATCCAACTTCACCACTTTCCCGATCGGCGAATGGAACCTCGAGCGGGCCTGCCCCCTACAGGTAACGGTCACAAACCTGACGTATCAGGATATACCGCTCATACCAGACGGAAGCGATGGGCTGATTGCTTGCATTGAGCCATCGACTCAGCGCTTCGTCTTTCCTCCGGCGATTGCGCAAGCATTCGGAAACTCTACTTACCAGAATGAGACCGCATATCCGGGAAAGATGCAGTATAGCGTCTCCGATCGTCCCGGCGGCGATCTCGTTGTGACATTGGCAGGCGGCTATCAGTCTAGGATACCTAACAAGGAATTGTTCGCGCCACTACGCGGATCTGACGAGTACGGCCGGTATGCCATTACCAACGACAGCACACTCGAAGCGTTCGTGTCGGATACGCGACAAGATGATCCTGGCGATGTTGATAGTACCCTGGGAGGGCTATTCTTGACCTTCAACTATCTTTTAGTAGACTACGCGAAAAGCGAGTTCCGACTCGCGCCAGCTGTCGCATCCGATGCGAAAAACGTGTCGCCAAACCCTACCACAATCTGCACACCTACCGACATCACGCCTGCGAGCCCGACTCCGACAACCGAAAATACGTCGACCAATAAAGGTGCGATCGCAGGTGGTGTTGTGGGAGGTGTTGCTGGACTGGCCCTGCTTGGGGCCATGGGCTTCCTGCTGTTTAGGCGGAACCGCCGAGCCAAGAACCCTGCTGTCAGCGAGATCGATGGGCAAACAATTGAACCAGTATCGCGGCAGCCGTCAGAGATGATGGCGCATGAAGTTACACCTGTGCATGAGATGTCTGCGAGTCGATACGCAAGTTTCCGAAAGCCTGAAGGGAGGGGATGGCATTGAGCGTGGCCGTGGCAGTGGCCGTGAGAAAAGGGGAGGCGGGCAGATCCGCTTCGGCTGTGTAATGACATAGTTCTACACTAAATTTCTGGGCGCTATCTCGAGCAGTCCATTGTTCGCCCAAGTCGCCCTTTTCTTCCCATCATGCCTTTCGTCCTTTCATGGCAAAAGCTTCGCTTTCCTAGTCGGCTCATACACGGGAACATTCATAGGTACCACATCGCTGTCGCGACAATAGCCCACTTCTGCCCACCTCAGCCAACCCGCATACGTCCTATTGGCACAGTCGCTGCCACGATGTTTTCTCCACAACATACCGAGAGTGTCGCCTCCGAACAGCTTCGCCGAAAACCCGTGCCCAAGCTTCAAGCACCAGCTATCCGCTACGACTTTCTCCACGATACGCTTCGCAAGTGCTTGATCGTCTGTCTCAATCTCGCTCTCCTTGGGTAACCGGAGACTCAGAAGATCAAACTGCCGTTGACCACTCCATCCAGTCATCTGCTCGTGTGCGAACGCCCCGTCCATCATGCTGAGCAGCCAGCACTTCTCTCTGACATACTTCGGCCCGTCCCATCCGTCTTCTTCATCCACCCAGCCTTGCGCCGATCCCATACATTGAATCTGAATCGCGTAGTCGGTCATGGCTTCGTCGTTGATCACCATCTTCTCCTGTCCTTCTTCTTCTATAACAACCTCTTGTGGCACACGCATAAGCGGGACGTGGGACACCATTGAATGCGCATGTGTGCCGATCGTATTGGTCTTGCCTTCCCAGACCTGGAGCAGGATATAATGTGCGCGTTGCACAAGCGGGTTGTTCGCTCGACACATGAGCGAGAAATTTACAATTTGCGGCTCATCTGCTCCCAGCGTGAAGCCGGCGAAGTCGTAAGGCGAATCTGGGTTGGTGATGTGTTCGGTCCAGAGACGATTTAGGTCGCCAAATTGAAGGATGCCAACGTCGAGGTACACACCACCGTACTTCAACAGGAGCGGATAGCGGATGAGATCTGAGGTGTGTTGTGCGGCATACTGCCCGTCCAGGGTGCCGTTCGTGAATGCCGCCGGTACAATCGAGGAAGACTTGGTGTCAATGTAGTTTCCTACATTTAGTGGAGAATTTGGCACGTTGTCGAGGACATAGATAGTCCATCCCAGTGGTGAGAAGCGGCGGTACCAAGCAAGGACGTTGCGTAGTAGGACGGGTGGGACCGTTCGGATGCCAGAATGCCAAAACGCGAATATAGACTTTGAGTCAACAAGAGGTGGTTTCGGCGATAAGAGCTCTTCAGGTAGGGGCCCTTCTGTTGATATAGGCTCCAGAACCTCGTACGGAATTTTTGAAGTTCCTGGAGTAAACGGGTAATCCATGATTCGGCTTAATCGTAGACGGTCGATCTTGATCTCTGAATTACTCTCTTTGTTGACAGGTAACTGCATTGTGAGTGCCAGTATAACTTTGGTGATATTTATCTGGGAAGGCACGCAGGAGTCACTGTCCGCCGGCCAATGGTCATTTCGACTCATACACGCTAATCTACGCGTGACGTCATCGTGCATATATTCTTCAGCATCTTTGCGAAGCATCAAAACGTGGTGTCGCGACATTATCACTCGATATTTGCTTGGCTAGACACGTCTGAGTAAGATTGGTCATTCTCTGCACTCTGGTCCGCCGAGGAACATGCCTGCCACCAGCACACGACAATGTGTACCGAATCGACGATCGAGACCAAGAGCCAACTCGTGTATGGTGCAAGATGATCGGATATCATGCGCTGACGATTGAGAAACTGGCTGGAGACAGGCTTGAGTCTCAAGTCTTCGGTCGCTTACTTGTCTACGCCAGTCTGTTGGAGAATTGATCACATGCGTTGGGTAAGCTCATTAGAGCAACGAACAACACGCAAGACTCCAGAGAACGCACAGCAGTGTAGATACAGTAACTTGGTCATTTTGGCGAGAAATTGGACTCATTCGTTGTCACAGTCGTCACCGCGCCATCGAGTCGCGACTTCCGTTTACCGCCAAGCACACGACCAAATGCGCTGAGTCTAGACTGCTACCTTCACTGCCAGACTCTCGGCCTCCATCGACACACCATCAACATGCAGCAACCCAGATCCGCTCTCTCGCCCCTTCCCGACATCGTGCGCGGCCCATCTGCACCGCCGCGACTACCACCTCGCGCTTCCCCACCACCGCCTGCTCCAGACTTCCTCGTCATCGGCTTGTTCGCCCTGCGACTCACCAAGCGGTTGATTGAAAGCCTCGAGTACTATCCCGGTCGTGATGCTGACATCATCTGGCTCGTTAACTTCCTCTCGCCCTTCCACAATGAATACGAACTAGCCAAGATCTCAGGTGCTCGGAGAGATGACTATCTCGCGACGTATCAGAGCATTGTTTCACGGATGAAGAAGCAGCCAAAGTACCCTATGCGGTTCATGCAGATGAATCCGGATCAATCGGCGCAGCCAGCAAGGCGAGGCAGCGAGATGGAGCGACCGAGGGACATGACCGATGGTGAGTAGATCGCACATGCGCTATCTCTGGAGAAACATACTGATGCAGACTAGCTGAGCGACTGGAGATCATCAACTTCTGCGATGCAGCAGGCGAGTGGGGATCCATCCTCCCGATACCAGCGCGTGAAGCAGAGAGAATGGTCGAGCTAGCTGACCGAAGAAAGATCGCCGATCTCGAAGACTCTCGTCGGCAACGACCGCAATACGAAGATAGGGAGGAGTCACGAGATCGAATGCAATCACGGCGCGAAGATAGAGAGGAGCTGGTAGATCGAAGGCACCCACGCTTCGAGCCGCATTCTTTGCCTTATGATATGAGACGACCATTGCAAGAGGTCAGGCAGCCGGAACGCGAGGACAGATATGGACTACACAATACTGGGGCGTGGCGTGGCGACGAATATCTTCCGCCTGATGAAAGGCAACAGCCAGTGGATACGAGAAGGAGACGGCGGGTATCCTTCGCGGACGATAGGCAGTACTACGAGGTAAGAGTTTTGCATTCACATGGAATTTGTGTATTCACTGACTTGACTAGGATGAACGCCGTTAAGAGGATGTGCGATGGCGCGAGCGTTAAGACTTGAGTAACCGGGTGTGCGCTGGAATGTTAGTTTCCCAAGATTGTCGCGAAGGTGTCTGATCCGCTTGTTCTGAGTCCTGCACATCTTGTCTAACTTGATTAGACTTGTGCAGTGTTAGTAGTGATGTGTCGAATGAAAACATTGGATACTACCGATTGTGCAACTCATGCCTTGTCTGGAAATAGTTCTTGACGTTGGAACGCGTCTTGCCCAGGTGAGATCCAAATTGTATCGCGAACCTGGCAACCCGCTAATCAGGTCAGAGGTCTAGACGAGAGCGCTTCGCACCTTCCATCTACAGCTCTTTCGGGACTGATCGTTCACTTTTGCGTTGAACTTGGAAGGGGTCCAGAGGAAGCGGCAGGCGCGGCTTTTCGCATGATAGGGCGCAGTCCGGTCTCTACCATGGTTTGCATCCCTCGCTTGAACGAACCTGGAAGTCGAAAAGTCGTCTACGATAGATGCTGAGCTTATTTCAACATCCTAGAACAACTTCTTTCCCGAGAACATCCAATCAAAATAGAAACAATTTCCAAGGAGGGCACAGTGTGACTACCGCTGCAAAGCACGATCAGCTACCACCAACCGCGCGAACCACCCACCTGAAAGAATGGCGCACCGCGACCCTGCCAGCACTGATATTGTCGACTATTGCATACGCGGCGAGTCTAACCACCTCTATGAAGAACCAGATGTCGACGAAGACATCGTATATCGCATTGTTCCCGGCGATGCAGTGACGGACGAAGAACTGGACATTTGCGCTGGCAACTTCTCTTCTAATTACGGCGTGTGGAGTTGGAGAGCGCATCTTGAAATGGGGATGATGGCCGAGTACGGTAAGTCCTCCGGCATGGTTGGAGTGCGCATGTCGGCAGCCAAGGACCGTATCGCTGACTCTGGTATAGGTAAACCAATACATATGAGTCGCGTAAGACTAAGAGCCCAATGTCTCCCTGAAGGTGCGAACAATATCCTAGTGACGGTTGTTACCAAAGACGATCGGCACGTTGGGCACTGTTTCGTGAGCCAGTGGATGCATGGCGACGATCGAGTGTGGTGGATAACGCAACTGCTCGTGGTGAAACGTTATCGCAACCAGAGACGAGCTACACGAGTGAGTGTTTATCCCGTATTTTGATCAATAATTTGCAGCTAACATGCAATAGATGCTACAAGCCCTGGTCATGCACTACGATATCGGCAGATCTACCCAAAGAGATCTTGTCGGAATGGCAACCGTGAACCCCTATAGTCTTTGCGCTATTCTTCGCGTTTTTGGCCGCGGTATCGAAGTACTGCCTTCGAAGCCTGATTGGGAGAAATGTCGCATTCGCCACACGCCGCTGCTCAGTTCCGCATGTGAGCCTATAGTTGGCGCCGCACCAGTCAGCTACATCCGCAATGCCAAACTATCGCAGGGGAAGTTGATTGCGAATACAAAATTCTTTGTAGATCACGCCACGTCCGAAGGAGCGATGAAAAGGATCCTACATAGCATGAACCAGCAGGTGTCTGGGCCGTGGGAGTGGCTATTCGGCTGCTTGGAAACTGGGTACGAATATGTGTGTATCCTTGATTATTCCTACGATCAGGAATACAAGATGGATCTGGCACTGTTCGACACGCCATCGGTTCCTAATGAGCCTGGTTCGGGAAAGCACGCTGCAAGCCCGTCAAAAGCGCTGTTTAGAGCAGCTTTTGGGAGCTCCAGGCCGCCTGAGCAGAGCCCAACCCCGGTTCGATATGCTGACATCGATCGATACTTGCTCGAAGTGCCTGAGAGTTGCGTCCTTGATCCGAACCTTAGCAATCGTGCCCATGCATCCTTGCATGGCAGTATGAGCAAGCTTATCTATGAAGCCAAAGAGTTGATTGCAAAGCATTTGCGTGTATTGCCCACCATCATGGGCGCAAAACAGATACCAAGAGATCTTCGAAGAGCCTATCAGACGGCGAATTTGATCTTCCCGTTACCAGGACAGATACAGACGTGGGGAGATTTCGTGCCGTACGTAAATGAGGTCTTCGAACACGGTATCAACGCTGAAGCTCGCATGTTGATCCTGCAGGCGATTCATTTCCAGGAGCTCCGTGAGCTCGATGAGAGGGAACAAAGAGAGAGGGCGAAGAATGCCTCGGCATTAGCCAAAGTGACCAGGTCAAAAGAGAAAAAATGGTCGTTGATGGATACGAAGGAGAAGCCTGGGATTGAACCGTTAGCATACGCCGCATACACCCTCAAAGACGAAAACGAGGGACTATCCGCAAAACCACGAACGAAACGTCAGCTCACGCCCACAACGCCTACTAGAAAGCCTCTGGCTCCGAAGTCTCAAGGGCTGTTTGGAACAGCCAAGGCGACAGCAAAGACACCCACATCCACTCCTAGATCTCGAGCAACATCAATGTTCTCATCCCTGAGTCCCTTCCGAAGATCGAAGAGATCAAAGTCTCGATCCTGGAATTCTAGCATGGCGATGCAGGCACACAGCCCTACACCAGCCACACCCGAGACGGCACCTAAACATAAGTCCAGTCCAATCGCCCAGCCCACCGTCTGGACGCCGGCTTCTGTGGCTGTCAAAACACCCATCTCCATAGCTTTTGTTCCTCAAGGACAAGGTGAGATACATACCGCGACAACACCACCCACGACTCCACCATCCGCTGAATCGCAGCCGGGTCTTCCACACTACATGACCCCAACCGTGGGCTCAATGCAACGGTACGAGACCTGCAGTCCTCAGCTTTTCTATGACGATGAGTCTGATGGGTGCAGCAAGTCGAATGTCTTTGGCCGGTTTTCTCTGAAGAATGGCGCGAAGACGTTGGATCGGACGCAGGGTATGAGGGGATGACTTGTAGGCTGGGTTGAAATAGGTTGCGAGCCGTCTTAGTGGCATGGTCTTCTTGGTTGTTCGAACAATCATTGATGGCAGATGGGTATTAGTTTGTGAATTCCCACAAAACAAGAGGCTGGTGGAGGATGCGGAGTCAGGAGCGATGCTACGGCTGAGTGTGGGGCATGACGCGTCTTGACGAGCTAGTGCGTGGATGGCACCTTTCTTTTCTCTTCTCGATCAATGTACACTTCACTTTCATTATTCGCCTCGATGACGCTCGGAGTACTGTCAACACAAACCCATCTCATTCTCTAGGCATATTACAAGACCTTAGTGTTGCGAAACCGGTCGCTCGAACTAGGCACGAGTGTGATCCACTCGCCACTCCATATGAACGCACTCATCTATCTTACACTGACGCAAAGAAATATAGTTGTAGAAACCTGATCTACGCTTACAAGGCCCAAGCAGCGATAGCAAAGACGACCGACAAGCCCATGGCCATCGAGTTCACAAGCGAGACCGAAGTAGCAGCTCCAGCTCCAGTACCGCTAGGGGTGGAGGTGCCAGATTGCTGAGCACTCTCGCTTCCACCTTCACTTCCGCCATTGTTACCGTTGTCGCTGTTGTTACCGCCGTCGTTGTTGTTGTTGCCGCCAGTGGTAGTGTTGCCGCTTGAAGAGCCACCAGATGAAGTACCGTTGTTAACGGGCTCCGCCGATGGCAACTCCTTCTGCTCCTTAGGGCAGGTGATGTCGAATCGCGGGGTGGTGGAGAGGTTGTCAGAGACGGCGAACTTGACCTTGTTCGCGGGGTTGGCGTCGCGGAGCGTGTACCAGAAGACGTTCTTCTTGCCGAAGAGCGCGCAACCGACATCCTTCCAGTATGTCTCGGCGTTGTCCACAGTCGACTTGGCAGCACCAAAGTCCGGACCGCTGTATGCCCAACCAGTCTCGGTGACCCACACGTCCTTGCCTCCAGCAACACCCTCGGTTGCGCTGATAGCGCTGCTCAAGAGCTTGCCAGCGTTGTCAATCTTGTTGTCCAGCTCGGACTCGTAGAAGGGGAAAGCGTTGACGGCCAAGAAGTCGATCTCGTCGATGACAGCGGCGTTGGACTCGTTGACCCAAGCGGTCCAGGTGTCGACGTGGGTGATCTTGACATCCTTGAGAGGCGTGTCGGCAAGACGCTCGCGCGCGGCCTTGATGAACTCGACAATCTTCTCGGCGCTGTTACCAACACCAGCCTTGTTCCGGATGCCGGGCTCAGACACGCGGTAGAGATCCTCGGAACCGACCGACAGTCCAATTACAAGATCCGTCAGCTTAGTGCCGTACTCTTCGACGGCAGAGTTCAATGCCTTCAACTCGTTGTCAATATCTTCGGTTCCCGAGGCCCAGATACCGAGAAGGAGCTTGGAGTTTGTCTTGATGGCGGCAGGGAAGGCGGCGATGGGAGTGTCGGTCGTCTGCCACTGGATGTTGGAGTACAGGCGGATGGCGGTGAAGTCGCCCGGCGCGCCCTTGAGGTTCTGCGCTGTGGTGAACTCCTTCTCGAAGTCCGCCTGTGTCTTGGCCTTGCCAGTGTCGTCGGAGGCTCCCGAGTTGAAGCCTAGGACGAAGTCTTGCGCAAGGGCGCCGCTGACGGTGGCCGCCGCGACGGCAAGCGCTGATACGAAACGCATTGTTGCTAAAGTGGATTAAGGGAGCGACTGTAGTTGAAAAGTTGAAAAAGATTGCAAGAAGAAAGGAGTCAGAGAGTGTGGAGAGAGTGTGGAGAGAGAGATTATTCAAGAGAGAGCAGGACAAACCCCCGTGTAGGTTCGTGCAAACACGCGCTGACGATCATTCACGAGCGGCTTACCCCGTAATTGCGGTCTCGGCGTCCGGGGCCGTTTGATTGGGCGGCCGGCAGCACCGCGCTGGTATCAGCCTCAGCTGGGCCTTGGCGCCAAGAATGGCAAGTGAGCCGTCGCTCTTCGTTTGGTGAGTCTTTGGTGCACAGCCACGCGCCTGAAACGGCGCGTAGAATGAAAGCGTTTCGGAAGCTTTTGGACGTCACGTCATAATAGGCTATCCTCCTATCGTCCCCAGGCTCTGGCGCGTCTTATTTCCGCAGCACGTACTAACCCGACATCATGTCTACAAAGCCAATGCATCGTTGAACGAAAACATTCGCTTCAAGGACGCATCAGACATCAGCATGAGTCTTGCAGGATGTGCCAGCACCTATCGCTCACTGCTACGACTCAGCCGTTGTACGACCCTCATCGCAGCTGACATGTGTTACGATGCAGTTGGGATACCCATACCTACCTACGAGCGTGTTCCTCCAGAGACTGCTCAGGTAAGGATGGTGAGTAATTGACCGAGTGAGTTCAGTAAACATGGAAGACGTCAAGCAAACGCCATGCCACCGGAACAATCCCGGAATACCTCAAGTCTTCCAAGGTTGTGCTGAGCTGTACGTCGAACATGTTGGAACACCCCCCTCTTCCACGTTGCACAATCTCGCTCCATGATGTAGCGAAACAGCTGCTTACATGGTAACACTCGGTATAGCTTATGCCAAACTCATCTAAGATGCGCTGTTCTAACAGCCGTGCATTCCGCTAGGATACAATACTAGTTTACATTGCCCAAATATCACTGCATAGTTTACCATGCGTCTCTTGATATAGACCCCATAGCTTCCTGCCTGACTAGTCATCGTTCACCCAGTTCAACTAAGCGATCTTCCCAACTGGTAGCCGACTATCAAGGATTCAGATAACCGATCACCTGGATTAGGATCTCAGGACGCCACCTTAATCTAGAAACTTTACATTCATGCGCTTATCAAGATGATTCAAACCGGGCAGGAGAACTGCCAGTTGGAAGTGGGGTCCAACTCATGCAGGCAGGGGACAGATCATGGTTATTGGCGCACTCGTCACCATGGGATTGCTTGATCGGGACTAGATCGCTACATACAAAGCATGTGGTGTGCGGAACTATGCCGCGGGAACGACAATAGCGACCGAGGATACCTCCCTTCATTTTGCTCCCTGCGAAGCCATCAACATGACTAGCAAACAGATTCACAGACTATATGAGCCGTAAAACATCCACTGACTACCATTTCCTCTTTTGAGACTAGCGTTGCGTGAAGGACCTGAAGGACGATCTGAGGGGTCGTGATGTTCCAGCACGCGGACGAGGACGTCTGTGCCACTTCCCCGCTTGATTGCTGTGCGACGTCAAGTAAGCAGGCTTCGTTGGGCAGAGTTGAAATGTTCAAAATGACCAGTAAGCGCTGAGAGGAGAATGAGGACTTCTAAGGTAAAGTTCTGGAGCGGCACAAGAGCGCTAAGACTACACGATTACTCGCATCACACTGCCCAGGTGGTTACTACTTACCAAGCGCCACGGTTGGTCAAGCTGCAATCTGTTGTCTACATGTGACTCGTCCCTGACGTGCCAACAAACGTTTCCAACCGGAATACCAGCCTCAGATGTCCCGAACAATGTGCCTGACACCCGCTGTACCCGTTGTACAAGCACAACATCCACCTAGCGTCACCAAAAACTGTAGAACAAGAGCCCGACATTACGCGCTGGGAAACGCCACTTCATGCCAACCCCAGCAGATAGCAAGTTGACTGGTACAGATATACATGCAGAGGTTACACGGCATTGCAGAAGTTTCCTCGGGAATGTACATGTACAAGCGATGAACGAAGGTGCAGTTATGACACTACGTCGTTTGGCTTACACGTCATCTTCATACATGCTGAGAGATGGGAGAAGACTTGAGAGAATTTAGCGTACGTGTGGCTTTTTGAGGCCGGTACTGTAGTGGAACCAATACCAAACCGGTGGGCAGTAGAGGGGCGAAGTATGAAGGTGGGGGCTGTACGACATGTTAATGCTGACTTGTTTCGAAACGCGACCCCCAGCCGCATAGTATTGATGGCGAGCGCGGCAGTAAATGGGTTATGGCCGTGAGCCCACACGTGCAAGTACAGGCGATTGACTGCCCCTGGTATCACTGTCAAGTAGAGCATAACACTGGTGCAAAGACTGGGCAAGAAGATCTCGAAAGAATCGGCAACCGGTGTATATTATCCTGTTCGAGTGTTGGCACGCAACCGGCACTGCACTCTCAGGTAGCCTCAGCTGCAGATGGAGCCGAATTGTCATCAACATCCATCGCTCGCAGCTTAGCCTCCACGGCCGCGACGACCTGGGAATCGAAGTGCTCACCTTTCTCAGGTTTCCTGACACTGCAATATGTTAGCGATATGCGTGACTTCATGCAAGACGTATACTCACGGTGATCTTGTACACTTGTCACATCTCTCATGCCCACACCCAGGACATTGCGGCGAATTGTTGTGAAAGAGGCCATTGCACTTCTCACACTGCCAGCGCACCCTAGTCCTCGGCTTTCGCCAGGTCCGTCTAAATTTCTCCAGTTGTTTCTCCACCTCCGTCTCGCTGTCAGGCTCAGCATCGCCCGGGTAGCCATCAGGCCATTTGCTGAGCTTGGCTGGCTCGCGCGGGCATTTCGTACATCGGACATGCTGGCATGAATTGCAGACGTTCGCCGTTGCGGGAACGAACAAATTCTCACACACATGACAGTTACGTCTGATGCGTTGTCTTGCGGGCTGATATACCAACTCATCGCCGCCACGAGTCCGGATGGTGAGCATTCTCTTTCGCTTGGGTTGCTCCATGCCTTCTTTCTCAGCTTGCTTCTCCTCCGGCGTCTTCTTCTTGGGGAAACGGGGGCACTTCTTGCACCGCTTGTGCTCGCATTGCAGGCACACCTTGTCGGAGCCGTAAAGGGTTCCGCAGCGGTGGCAGCTGCGATGGACACGCATACGGATCGACTTCTCGACACGCTGGACAGTGGGCTTTGGAGCTGGTGCAGCGATCCACTCGTGCGACTCAAGAGTGAGGCCGTACTTGGCGAACAGGGCGCGGGCTCTTTCCTGCTGCATGGCGTTGCGATCCATCTCCTTGGTAATC